AACCCTGAGCGGCTGCTCAAGTGCCCCAGTCCCCACGGGAGTGGGGCTCGTAGTCCCCTCAAGTTACCCTCTTCTTGCCTCTTCCTGCTCTGAGGCTGCTACTTATGACGAAAGTAGCAGCCTAGTCTTGTACGTGTGCTCTCCCAGGTGGGACTGCAGAGAAATTCTGCTGTTTCACAACCAAGGCAATAAGCCTTTCTTGCTATCGCAATTGCAGTTTCTTGTTGTTTCTTGTTAGCTGAGATTGGTCGGATGCTTGAGTTAAAACAGCAAGTTAGAAAATTCCGTTTAGGAAATGTTTTCCGCTTTGTTTCTTTTAAGCCATGTTGTGAATTACTGTCTCTCTCTATATATTTTTTTTTAAATGTTTTTCATAAGCTAAAATTTTCTTGTTGTCTCATCTCTTTGTCATTCAGGAGTACAGAAAAAATTACTCGTTTTCACAAAAACAGATTGGTTGAATTACTACTGTCAAAGCTGTTAGGCTGGCTAAGATGATTTTTATTAATCTGCCTTATATTTATTCTGGTCATGACTTGGTTTTGCTAAAAGGCAAAACTGTTTTACTCCGCTGACACCGTTGGGTGACTGAGGACTCCTGGAAGATGGAGAGGTTCCCAGGGAGATTCTTGTTGCTGTCCAGAATGGCTCTTGCTTTAACCACCAGACTAACAGCGCTCCTGCAGATTCCACATCACTGTGGGATGACCCTCTGGTCTTGAAAAGCTTCTCGCAAAGTTGTTTACCCCAGAAAATCATCTCATCCTGCTCATTATGGTTTTTTTTTTCCCTAGTTTCCCTGCTCAACAGTAGGTCATACAGACAGGAAAAAAAGTGAGTGTGGTTTGGGTTTTTTTTTGTTGGGTGGTGCTGGCTTTTTTCTTGTCAGTAGAAAAATTAACTGGACTTAAGGTTGAGAAGGATTTCAGCATCGTTTTACTACGAAACTGTCTTTTCAAGTCCACAGTCAGTCTTCTGGGTGGAAAAAACTCCATCCCAACGTGATTATGGTCTGCCACGCTGGACTCTTAGCTGCATATAGAAATATGCTTCAAGCATTATTAAGAGGGTCAAGAGCAGCAATGTGACTGTTTCACTGCAGTCTTATCGTAAGTGAAACTTGTTGCCTGGATGCCTTTAATTCTTTGGGACTTCCAGTCCCACTTGGGCTTTGAAGACAAACATGGAATCGTGCCTTCCTAGCACAAGTATGGCCCCTCTCTCCCTCTCTCCCCTCCATGTCTGCTTGATACCCAATCTCAATAGCCTACTCTCTGCAATAGCAGAGATTTTTTAGTAGTAGATATTATTGTTTGTAGTTCAGACTCGGTGTGCAGAAGTCTATCTAATAAAGCCTGCGTTGGAGTTGCCTACGTTAAAAAAAAAATAATCCTGACCTTCCTATCTCACTTACGGATTACAGTAATCGTGGAGGACTCGAGCCATCACTGCAGTCACATGGTGGGTTATGGCATGTGTCAGTACCTCAGTGAGAAGGAGGAAATTTGGGAGAGGAGGGGCAAAAGCCCCCTTAGTGCAGACAAATCTCTTGCAAGCTCATGAGAGGGAAGAAAGGAGCACAGTCTGGCTCCAGGGTTATTGGGGAATTGCTGTTAAAGAAAAAGCTTTCGAGACCTAAATGGTCTCTCTTTTTGTTAGGTGCATTTGTAGCTGTAAGAAATAGGGAGACCTGTTGAATGGTGTAGAGGGGAGAAAGGAGACCCATCTACAGCCTGTCGGGGCTCAAACCTCAGTTCTCAGAATAAAAATCCTGTTCTCAGAATAAAAATCCTCTCTCGGAAAGTGCAAAGTTACTTTTCTCTCTTCTCTTTCACTGGTTTTCCTGGCGAATGCCTTCAGTTCCATACCGAATCAAGTCTTGAAACCTTGATTCCTCGCCCTGTATTTTGCTAGTTCCATGTAGCTTTTAAATAGAATAAACATGTAACATTTGTTTATGCCTTCAAATTAGGTAAGAAGCATGATCAAGATGAACTGCATCCTGTTAACCGCCTGCGTTGTTCTGGTTGCTTTTTGTAGTTGCGGTGAGTACAGGGGACGTACTTTCCTGATGCAATGTCATGACAGGGGCTGAGGAAATAACGGAAAAAATGTTGGAGAAGGCAAAATAACAAAAAAGGCCTGCATTATTTAATACCACTTTGGGGAATGGCAGTAACCACTGAAGTAGGGCTTACTTTCTGTTGCTGATTGTCTTTGGTCAGAAGAGGGAATTGGGGGCAGAATATGGTGCTGCTTAATATGGCAACAGTCTGTTGTGTTTTGCTGCTAGAAGATCGGGTTCCTGTTGTGTAAATTGGAAACTAGGTGTATAGCACGAGAGAGAAATGAGGTGAAATAAAAAAGGGATAGAATAAAATTCTGCTAAAAGTGTCTCTTCTTGTCTGTCCTTCTGGAAACGGCAATCTCTAAGAGTAGGTGAAAGACGCAAACATTTAATATATTATTCTGCAGGGACGTAAAGGTGAGTGTTTTTAAAAATGACATTAAGTCCATGCTTCAAAATCTTCCTTTCAAAATTGCCAGTCTCAGTTTGGACACTGACAAATTTTAGCTTGAGTCTAATAACCAGGCATATGTTTTGGGACAGTTAGATGCAGGTAGTAATTCTTCTTTTTTTCCTTTTTAATGCTGCTACTGTTTCAGTACTTTATTATTCAGTAAAGATAAATCTCTGTCTTCTTAGGTTATACCCTAAGGTGTTACCACTGTGAGAACAGCCCTTCCTTGTGCAAGACCAATAGCACTTGCTTAGCAACTGAAGATACTTGCTTGCAGATGAAATTTGGTATGTATACTGTCCTACAGACCTAAAATAAACACGGTTGTATCAGTTTTCATTGCCTATACACTTCTAATCTGGCCTCAGCATGGATTTCTTAGCCTCACTCAAAAGAAGGTTGTGAATACTTTGGAAGGTCATACTTAGAGTAAATTGATGTATTTTGACTTCCAAGCAACTGATAATGATGATTTACATAGCTGATTTATACTTGTACAAGCATATACACAGATATCTGTATATCCAGATTTAAAAAAAAAAAACCAACAAAAAACCTACCACCTAAGAGAGCTGGAAAAAAATAGGAGACAGCAATGACTTTAAGATACAAAACCTTTGCCCTGAATTTGTTACACTTTAAAAACAGATCAAGCATGTGTAACCCGCAAAATAAACCTGCAGATGAAAACTTAGTTGTTTATGAATTGACGCTATTAAAGTAAATTATCTTATCCTGAGGGTGAAGTCACCTGCATCTCAGGAAGGATGGTCAAGGATATTCAGAGCACAGAGTTACTGTTCTAGTTGTTAAATAACATTTAAGTAACCCTTTTACTATGAGTGACAGGAGTTTCATTGGAAAAGCAGAAGTACTGGGTCAACTGAAATCATCTCCTGCTTTCCTAGCTGGTTCCCTCTGCCCTAGAAAGACCGTTGGGCTGGCTTTGGACAGCGGGAACCAGGACGGGATGGGACGGGACTGCTCTGTTCCTTGGGATGGTCCCTGCTAAAGCTCTTGACTTGGCATGGAGGAAGGAAAGCTGCTAACGCCGTTGGACCAGCTATGCTGCTTGCGTCCTAAGGAATTTTCTCTTTTGCTATTTCCCTTGAGCCTAAACCTTCCTGAGCGCAAACTGTAGGCTTTCTAGCATGCAGCCTACGGCGGTTGTCCTTTGTCAGAGTCAGGAGTCGAGTACTTGAGGTGTCAAGCTAGGGAAGATGGAAGAGAAGTTGTTTGATCTCTGGTGTCCAGGGGAATGAGCGAGAAAAGGGGAGGACTCTTCCGCTCTTCAAGTTCTGTCTTCTGCATGTTGCTTCTGGAAATGAAGCCGGTCAGATCCAACGGGACTTGTCTTCAGCACAAAAACTAGCTTGAGTTACTGGAACAACTGAGCTTCGTGGAGGGAGAATGCCCGTGCTGTAGGACAATGCAAGAGCAAAGCAAGTTGAGCTAGATGGTGATGCACTGTCTTTCTCTGTCAGGAGCCTCAGAGCAGGTACCACTCCAGCTCTGCCCTGTATCTCCCAGTGGGTCATTTGGACTGAATTGGAAGCACTGGTTAGCTTGAGCTGGAAATTTTTCTTAACCTATGGCTGAGAGCTACAGGAGAGTGCTGTGGAGGCAGGACCATGGCTTGCTATCACTATTCGCACTACTAAATTCCTAGTGAAGGCAAATTTGGAAACCTCTGAACACTTGAAAAGAAGCTGAAAAAGCAAGTGCGTGGCAGTCTAGGCAGTGATTCTCTCTCTGTACCAAAAATGATACTACTTTCAATATTCTCTTAATCTGTTTTTTGGGTTTTTTTTTTTAGGTAAATTGAGAACTTCCTCCTGCTGGAAGGCATCCCAGTGCAGTGTGAATGATATTGCTGAATTCTTCCAGTTGGATAATTTTGAATTCTTTTGCTGCCAACACGACTTGTGCAATGAGAGCGCAATTACTGGGGTTAACAAAGCAGCCTTCAGTATTGCCTCTGTAATGACCATGTTATGGATGGTTCTGTAATAATCCTGATTTGTATGCCGTACTTTCAAGCTGAAATTATACAAAATCATTAACTCTTTTCTGAATTGTACTTCTCACATTTGTAGTTCCTAACTGTGGGCTGAAACGTTACCTTTTACTTTTAAATTCCGTTTCCTAAGGTTCCATCTGTTAAATCACTGTTGCCATTCATGGGAAGGAGACGTATATTGTTATCAGTTATAGGGAATTCGGGTATTTTGGCCTGCCGTATTCATGGGGAAAATAACTTGTTATGAAGTAGCGTTATCTTTGTGGAGAACCTGGGCAAACTTCAGTGGGTGATGTGAAAGGAAAAGACTACTATAGGTTTTATGCTGCAAAACACTCGTTTCTCACCGTCCCATAAATTGCAATTAATTTTGGTTGGGATTTCTGGGTTTTTGTGTTTGGGGTTTGTTTTTTTTTTTGGATGCTACCTTGTCATACCCCAAGCAGTGGATTTGCCCTCAACACCAGAAGTGTTGGATCGTGAGTATAAACTTGCTGCAGTCTTCATAAGGAGTATGGAAATACTTAGTGTCAAGCGATGTAGACTCTGTTCCCATCACTGTAACTTTTTTTTTTCTTTATACAAATGAATTATATAACCTTGTAGGCACTGTTATTTTGGGAGAAAGCATCTACGTTTCTTAAACCAAAACCAAAACAATGCTATAAGTGAGAAACACTTTTCCCTCTTTTTATATTTCTGCGAGCATGCAGACAACACATGCTAACTTCTTTTTTTTTTCCTTATACTTTATCCATGTCTAGGATTTTAACTAAGCATGTGCTTTGCACTGAGTATTTACTGGTATACTGAAAATTGTTTATGGAATGCTAAGGAATTGAAATGGCACATCCAGTTTATTTTCCGGCATAGTTAGCTTTTGGTTTTTTGTTGGGAACAGTGACATGTAAACTTAACCCTTCAAGCTTCTACCTAAGAGTATTAAACAAAACCTCGCAGAACTTTATATTTTGCCTTTTATGCGACTCTATAAATGCCAATACAAAATATACATGTATCTATATAGCATGAATAAAACCCACTCAGTTTGTATGTATAAGAGGTCTGAAGCTGAAATACTCTGTACATTGCTCTGCCTCAGTGGTGGAGACAGACCTTTGATACTTCTCCAGTACTTGGGGACCCTCTCAGTCAGGTACAATGTCAAATTCTCCTTTTCCTCTTCTGGAGCTCTTGGCGTGTCCCTGCAAGAGTCGTGGTCCATTGCCAATGGCGTATTCTATTCCTGAGGACCCTCGCTTGTGCTGTGCAGGGTGCCAGTGACACCAGTTCACCCAGTCATTACAAGGGTGTTACTCCAAATCCATGATGTATTCTGCAATGTATCTTTTGGTTAAGCGTATCTTAGCTATGAAAGCATTCTGGGATCTCTCTGATCACTCGAAATATGGAAGTCGTCCTGTCTTTGATTAATAAAAATGTCGAAAATGTGGAGAGTGTGGTTATTTATCGGCGCGGTATTTACAGCTGGATGTAAATAGTTGTTTCTGTGTGAGATGCATCTTTGCTTCCTACCCAGAGACTCTCAACATGTTGCAAGTAGACTTCCCTCACTTCTTCTCTGGAGATGGGTGCTACGTCTAGTCGGTTAGTTTTGGCAGAGTGGTTATTTGCTTTGGGGAGCTGTTTGATAGGACAAGGGGTAATGGTTTTAAACTAAAAGAGGGTAGATGCAGACTAGATCTAAGGAAGAAATTGTTTACACTGAGGGTGGTGAAGCACTGGCCCAGGTTGCCCAGAGAGGTGGTGGATGCCCCATCCCTGGAGACATTCAAGATCAGGTTGGACGGGGCTCTGAGCACCCTGATCTAGTTGAAGATGTCCCTGCCCACGGCAGGGGGGATGGACTAGATGACCTCTAAAGATGACCTTTAGAGGTCAACCAAACTATTCTGTGGGGTTGACCTTTAGAGGTCAACCAAACTACTTCCAACCCAAACTATTCTGTGCTTGGAAATGAGGAGAGTTAGTGCTCTTTCTCTAGATGAACTAACAGTGATGTGGCACTGGGGGTGAAGCAGTAGAATATGTGGTCCTTCGATCTCTTCTACTTGAGAATTGTCTCATTGGAGAAACAAACATGCCATGATTTGGGGAAAAAAGAGTTCTCCCTGCGTGACTGCTTTAACAGCTGAAGCATGGCATGTAACGTGCTTACTGTGATTGCTCTCGGAGTAATCCTGTCTGCGGTTTTCCACTAGTGCATGTTTTTATTCTCCTACATGCTGACCAGATTTCTTTGTGGAAGTATTGGTTGTTTCTTCTCCTCCCTCACTGCCCCCCCCCCCCCTTAGTTCTTAGTTTAACTAACTTCTAATACCTGTTTCAGGAGGGAAAACAGTTACATGTGATACTCCCCAAGTTGTAAATGATCTTAATAGAAACTGTTGGCTTGAAGTGTGTGGCTAAGTTGAATAGAAAGCATTTTAGTTGATATTTGTGTAAGCCAGACAACTGGAAAACAGTATTTTCCTCCTCTCTCACAGGCTAATTATACTTTGAACCTTTTGATGTGCAGTCTCAATCCAACAGGTACTAGAAATGGTGATTTGATGTTGTACTAGAAAGAAGAAAACAGCCCTTGATTTCCCACTCTTGTCCTTCCATCTTTTTATTTCCCATCTGGTTAACAAAAGCAGACACTTAAAAGCCGGTAATTTCTGCACAGTGACATTTTCCACTGATGCACCACCATTTGTCAAGCTCTTGCTCATTTTAGATGAAAAAGTGGTATTAAAGCACTGACTCAATATACAGTTGGAGGAAGGTTTGTAGCAGAGAAGGAGTCTCGTGTTAGACGAGCTGATAGATCCTGTACGCTTAAACCATCTTGGTTGCAGCATTTTTGCTCTACTATGTTGTCAATGTCTCTCTTTTGACGGTTGGCATTTCTAAACCTGTTTGATTGCCGTACGGTCTGCATATGTAAAATATTCTTTTTTTTTTTTATAAGGGCAAAAAGAAGGTCTGTATTTTGTCTGTCTGATAATAGTTTGAACAATCATTTTTAATATTTGTTTTTTGATAGCCTTGAACACTTTCTTGTCTAATCTATCATATTACTCCTTCCTCTTCTAGAAGCAGCTTGAGCAACGAGTCCTTGTGTTTTGCGCTCTTAGAAGGCCACTTCTTCTATAAAGATCAACAGGCACATTGTTTAATTCTTGTGGTGAGAATGCATGTAGCAAAGTGAGAGAATTTGCTATGATGGCAAACAACTTTTAAAAAAATTACTAGATTTCAAGTGGAAAGTATGCCTTTTGTCCCTCTCCTGGGAAAGGTAGATTAGTTACACAGGCTGATTCTTATCTCATGCCGTTTACAAGCTAAATGGTGATGCAGGGTTTCACATTTTGATATATATTTGCGTCTTCTAAGCCTGCGTGGTCTGGCTGGTGAGCTCTCTCCTGCAGAAGGAGTTGCTGAACAGTGACTGCTGCTTGAACGTTGGCACTTCTCCCACTGCTGCTGTATTACGTCCAGATTTGATGGCCAGCCCTCAAAGGCGGGTAACCAGAGCCATCAAAACCTTCGCTCAAATACAATTCCATTTAGTGATAGTAAGACAATATGGTACAGGGTGCCAGTGATCGATTCTGCATACAAGTATCGCATCAGTGCAAGTAATTGGTTTTGCTTTAGGTTTGCATACGCTTTATAGACAGCTCCATCTTTGCTCTGAGCTACAGAGCAAACAACCCTCATTAGGCTGTTACAAAATTTTCTGTAGCAGTAATTGGTCATCTGTGTGTGTAGCCTTGGCACAGTCTTGTGACTGTTCACTTTTACATATGTCCCTATTCTTAAGTCAATGATTTTTTCACTCTATGTAACAGTACAGTTAATGTGTATGATAATTTCTTGACTCTTATTTATATCTAATTATGGCACTGTTATTGGATGGACTGGAATTTAGCTCTCTTCTGGTTGTAACGGCTAATTACAAGGAACTGAAGGGCTGGTGGGCAGCCACAGAATAACAGAATGGCTGAGGCTGGAAGGGACCTCTGGAGGTATCTGGTCCAACCCCCCTGCTCAAGCAGGGCCACCTAAAGCCAATTGTCCAGGACCGTGTCCAGACGGCTTCTGAATATCCCCAAGGATGGAGGCTCCACCACCTCTCTGGTGGAGGCACTCCTGTGCCAGTGCTCGGTCGCCCTCACACTGAAAAAGTGTTTCCTGATGTTCAGAGGGAACCTCCCGTGTTTCAGTGTGTGCCCATTGCCTCTGGACCTGTTGCTGGGCACCACTGAAAAGAGCCTGACTCCGTCCTCTTTGCACCCTCCCTTCAGGTATTTATATACATCGATAAGGTTCTCCCTGAACCTTCTCTAGGATGAACAGTCCCAGCTTTCTCAGCCTTTCCTCATAGGAGATACTCCCATCCCTTCATCATCTTGGTAGCCCTTTGCTGTACTCTCTCCAGTATGTCCGTGTCTGTCTTGTACTGGGGCGGCCAGAACTGGACACAGTACCCCAGTGGCCTCACCAGTGCTGAGCAAAGGGGAAGGCTCACCTCCCCTGACCTGCTGGCAATGCTTTGCCTAACGCAGCCCAGGATACCATTTGCCTTCTTTGCAGTAAGGGCACGTTGCTGGCTCACATTCAACTTGGTGTCCACCGGGACCCTCAAGTCCCCTTCTGCAAAGCTGCTTTCCAACTGGTCAGCCCCCAGCATCTACTGGTGCCTGGGGTTATTCCCAGTCTTTGGGGTGGGTGTCACAAAATGCGGCTTGGAACCCCAGGGATTCCTAAGTTTAGGCCATCCTCACCTGCAAGTGCAGGTGCCAGGCATTTTGTGTGGTTTAGCTGTGTCCTGTAAGATACAGGACAATGCAAAATATATTTAGGGTGAACTGCAGTGCAAAATGTGCCTATTGCTCTCTGCAGTGAGTGCTGGGTAACTTGCCACTATTGGCTGGGGGTTTTTTGGCTTTGTTTTGTAATTATCTAAATGGTTTGCTCTAAAGTAGTGGCATGACTGAAATGTCATCCTTAGCTGTTTACCTCTCAGCACGCTTTTTTTGCCTATACACATCATTTATATACTAGTGGCCATCTAACCATCAAAGAGTATTCTTCCCTGCATCTCCTTCTTAATATTCATTGCTCTCATAACCACTAGTCCCTTTTCTGGGGCACAAGTTCACAAAGGAGTTATTTTTCCCTTTCGGCATATGAAGAAGGAGCCAGAAAATGGAAGCTGCAGTAGCAGCAAGCGGTGTGTGCAGGAATTCATTCCTGTGATCTGTCTTTGCCATTAATTCCTCCTTTGATCCCTCCTCCTACTTTCTGCCTTCTGCGTGGTGGTGACTAGCTGTCCTTTGACTTGAACTTGGGCATGGAGAGCATGGAAGCCCCATAGTACTGGTGGGAAGGTGGGGCTGGTATACCTGGTTGGTAGGGATTTTGCTTTATCCTGTCTGAAGTCCTTCTCTAGTTTTACCATCATTTGTCAAAGATGAGGTGGGATGTCTCCGTGCTATTTCAGGATGCAGGAAATTGTGAAAAGAAGCAGATGCATGGGAAAAAACTGATAGGCAGAGCAAGCAATTTCCTCCCACTGCTTGTTGGAGTGAGAGGAATGAGGAGGCTGACCAGCGAGGAGCTTTTATTTTGAAAAAAGGAGGAGGAATTGCAAAAATAATAAAGTAGTCGCAACAGAGAACAGCACATTAAGTAACTTGCTATTGCGCTAACTGGGACATCTGGACACTGCTGTTATATAAATATTAAATGCATTTAATAACAGCAGTGTTCTTCCAGCTGGAAGAGAGTTTAATGTGTCTGAATCTCTGTGTGTCTCCGAGGCGCTTGCATCTCGCTGATAAATACAGTCAGTCCTAGGGCTGGCATCATAACAGGGAAGTTAGGCTGCAAGCTAGGCCTAAACATCCAAGCCAGCGTTATCTGTAAGATGCCTGCGTGTGTTCAGGCAGAAACTAGTACACCGCGCTTTCTGACTCGATAACACAATGTTAATATTGCACTAACAGGACGGTGATAACAGCATTCTGCATTTTAGAGAGGGAGAAGAGAACAGCTAATTTGGCTGTGGGGTCCCCAGAAGAGGTAGGTTGTCATTTCCACTCCCATCTTTCCAAGCATAATTTATACATTGGGATAAAATAAAGACCTGCAGATGATCTTATCTTTATGTGTTTATATGCTGCATTGATTATTACAGTATGACAACTTATAGCATAGGAAAAACTGTTCTGGAGCCTAGAAAAGTGAAAGCTTAAAAATGCTTTTGGTTTCTTTCACTTAAGTGGAACGAATAAAAAAAATGTTTGGAGCAAAGTTTCAGAAAATAAAGTTTTCTGAAATGAGAAACTAATTCTGAAGAGTCAATTAAGACGATGATACAGGTGTAAACATGAAGCAACAGGGACCTAAATACAGAGTGTTCCCCCAGGCAACACTGATAC